CCAGTTTGCAAATTAATTCCAATTCTGCAGTTTCTCACTGGAGTCTGTTTTTGAAGTTTTTTTGTTGGAGTATTGCGACTTTGAGGTCTGTAATCGAGTGACCAGGGAAATTGAAGTGTTCTCTGACTGGTTTTTGAATGTTATAATTCTTGACGTCTGATTTGTGTCCATTTATTCTTTTGAGTAGAGACTGTCCGGTTTGGCCAATGTACACTCTTTGGGAGGACTGGGGGAAAGTACCGGACAATGACAAGCATTCTATGGAGCAACGACCATCTTTTATTAAGCGTGCACAGTGGCTAGTGCAGTGGTGCCCTGATGCTTGACTGATGGCCCCTAGACACTGCCGCAATACATATAATGCCAACATTCCCACTAACTCCAGGACTGGACCCAAAGGCTGATCTGGATTTTTAAAGGGCCTAGCTTCCAGATATGTATCTGTATTGGCTTTATGAAGCACCTTTGAGGAATCACTGCAGAGCTCTTCAAGATAAAGGTTCTTCAATGGTCCCTTATTAGCTAATTGAAGGCCGTGGCGTTTCTGTATTTGTTTTGTGACAACTGGTTTTAAATATCCCAAACAATGTTTATGTAAATGAGCATAATCCCCATCCAGCTCCCCACCCAGCATATGCATGGCAGGCTCTTATGCACAGCCACCCTTATGGGTGAGTTGGGGTTTGTCTTTATTCTGCTACCTAAGCAATTAATTAACTTAAACAAATCCATGGGCACGGACTGTACTTACTGACTGCACTCACTGACAGGTTAGCACGTTCCTCAGCCATATTTTCTCCCAGGCTGTTTATCCCCAGGAGTTCCTGTCCCTCCCTCTAGCAGATGTTCTCGCTTTAATCTCAGCTTGACACTCAACCTTTTATTGTCCTCATTTTGAGCTAATGAGCCCTGCTCTGGCTGCCAGCATAAGTCACCAAAGTCCCAAAGCTTGACATCCATCTTGTCAAAGCTGGTCTTAACCACATATCACTAGTTTATTCACAGAACCAAATTGAAAAGCCTGCCTCATATAAAGGAAGTACAAACTTCATTTATCTTTTGGCACCATCAGGTGTAGTTCAGAAAAAAATGATGTGAGATCAGAGCAGGGCCCAACTTCCCAGCTTGTTTCCCACATTTTCATATGGCTCACTTGCTGTTTGTATTATTGACCTCCCAATCAATAACAAGACAGTCTCCATTTTTTTCTATTAGCTGCCATATGTAGCTGTGTACGTCAGAGGAGAAGTTTTTGGTTGTTTTAGTTTTGGGGTTTTTTTTGTTTGTTTGTTTTTTGCTGCTCCTGACTAAGCCTCAGGAAATCTGGGTTCAAGGCCTACTTCTGCCCCAGACTTTCTGTGTGACCTTGAGCAACTCAATTATCCGGTGCCTCCAGTTTCCATCTGTAAAATGAGATTATTTCTGGCACCATTTGTCCGCCTTGTCCATTTAGAGTGTAAACGCTTTCCTGCAAGGCTGTCTCTTACTATTGTATGTACAGCACCCTGTGTGCAATGGGGCCTTTGTCTTTCTTGGGGTATCGATGTGCTACGGAAGTAAAGTTCAAGGAACTTGCTGCCGTGGACTTTCCCTGCAGGCAAAGTTCAGAGTCATGTGTGGGAGTATATATAAAATCCAAATTTTATATTCAGACACACATTCAGCCATGCCAAGGGTTGATGGGTTGACTTGCTGGGATTTATGGTTTGTTCCATTCCAATTTCTACAGCTATCAATCTATCTACCTTAAGGTTTTATACTGCTGTCCATCACCACAGTATCTGAATGCCTTCCACATAAAATCACTAGAAAGAGCAAAAGCCCTAGTGCACTCTGTGGTATTTCTCCCTTTTTGGAGTCACAGCTCTGCTTGGGATAGGCCTTTATTTTGTTTTTTTGTGTGGTGAGGGTTTAGAGGCAGAAGGGAATGTCAATGTCAATGTCATTGTTATGGTGGGAAGGTTTTGTCAAAGCAGAATGTATTGCCGCATTTCTTGAAGCTGGTCAGACACTGGGTGGACCTGCTCTCCTCTGAAGTTTGTCCCATATATACCCACTGTACCTTCAGAATGACAACTAAAGAAGCCAGTCGTGTCAGCCAGTCAATTTTACTTTTGGAGAAACACATGGTAATGTTTATTGGACTGTATGAGCTGGAGCATGATGATTTATTTTATGCTTTTTAAGGGGATGACGGTGAAAAAGGAGATCAAGGGGAGGTCGGAAAACATGGAAAAGTAGGCCCCAAAGGACCAAAAGGTACGTGTGGTAGTTTTGATAGTATTGATATAGGGATATTAATACAAATAAAACAGAACAATATGTCAATTGCTAGTCATGATAATACCTTGGACTAATGCTGTACCAAGCGATCTCATAATATTTTCTAAACATGAATTGATTAAGGCTAACAACATGCCAGAATTACTATTAATATGGGTATTACTATTACTCTTATATACCATAAGAAAGTCACAACTTATGACTGACTGACAACAGTCGTGTGACAGGCCAATAAGTTTCTATTGCTGACTTCCTTCTATTGCTGCAGTTCATCGTGACTGAAGCATGTGGAAGATTGTTAGCTGATCAGATCACATATGCACCTCCTGGCCTCACGGCTAGTTCATCAAAAATAACCTGGACCCTAATTTCATCTCCTCTTCAGAATATGAACGAGAGGAAAAACTGCAACATGTCTGGAATTATATGGCTATAATGGAGGGATTTCCATTTAGCTCTGATTAGGAACATTCAAAGCCACATGTAACAATACATAGCCTGACTTCATATTTCAACATAAATCAAGGTTTTATTGTCCCTTGAGTCAAATACCTCCTTAGGTGAAACCTAGGCTAAGAGTTACCTCTAGGTCAATAAATCTTGACATTTATCTCAACAGAAGCCAATATCTGTGGAATTTTCAAATTTACAGATAAGCAAACTGATGCATAGAGGCCCAGATCTCAACAGTATTTAGGCTGTTCCCATCCATTGAAATCAATGGACGGTAGGAGCCTAAATATCTGTAAGGATCTGGGCCAGAGAGAGACTAGGTGAATTACCCACGGTCAAACAGCAAGTCGCTGTCTATACTGGGACTAGAGCCAAGGACTCTCAGCACTCTGCTCTATTAGACACACCCCCTCCTTGGATAATGAACAGTACAACAGCATTCTGAGGCAGAGAAAAGTGCTGCTAATTACAGAGTTCAGAGTAAAGCTTATTTGGGTGTCCCATCTCATAGTTTAACCAGCTGTTTTTGCAATACTGATACATACACATGTTCATTCTCCCATTTGGCAATGGGCTAAGTATTTCAGGATGCTAATCCGTAGCATTGTTTTACATTTTATAGCTAGAATATTTTTTAAAATTCTATTTACTAGCTGTTATAATTAATACATCCTCTAATTCTGTATATACATCGGCTACATAGGACCACGTGTGACATTGTTTCAAATCATAAAATAGTGACTGGAGCAGATCAGAGGGAAAGGGGTCAGTTAACACGTGTTTATTAAATGTTTTTGTGGCATTAAAGTCATATGTGCAGATGGAGAGCCCACAAAACTAGGATCTCATAATTTAGCCAGCCAATTTGCAACATAAAACAATGGCAAGTATAAAGGTGTGTATTACCATCAGACTCTGTGCACCAGAAAAATCCTGTAGTGACATGCAGCAAAAACACTGGGCCACATTTGGCAATCCTGACTTTTACCACAAGTAAGGACTTCAGAATTTCGTCCGGTAAAAGAAATCAAAGAAATACTTGACGGGGTTCTCGAACTTCATTGCATTTTGACCCCCTTCTGACATGACCCCAGGAAGGGGGACTGAAGCCTGAGCCCACCTGAGGCCCATCACCCCAGGCAGGGGGGCTGAAGCCAAAGCCCGAGGACTTCAGCCCCAGGCAGGGGGCCGGAGGCCTGAGCCCAGCCGCGGGCTTCAGCCCCAGGCACTAGGACTCAAGCTTT